CCTGCTCCAGTGTAAAATCCTCCAAATGGTTTCCTGTCTCACTTAGAAAATTCACACTCTACCATGACTGAGAAAATCTCACTTGATCTGGCCCCTGCCTGGTTCTCTGATTTCATCTTCTACTCTCCCCATAATCTCTAAGACATACTTACCTTTCCTTTGTTCCTTTAACAAGCAAAACTCAATTCTGCCTCAGGACCTTTGCACTTGTTGTTATTGCTTCTTGGAAAGCTCTTTTCCAGATGGAAATAAGACTGGCTTGCTTTTGTCAATCAGGTCTTAGCTCAAGGATCTCCCCATCAGTGAGGCTTTCCAAATCAAAAGTTGCTCCTTGGACAAATCACTAATACATTCTCCTGTCCAATTTTATCCACAATATTTATCACCATCTGAAATTTTCTTATTGTTTACTAATGTATTATTTTTCTCTTCCTCAACTCACATGAGAGTAAGGACTCTGTCTTTGAAACACTATATCCCCAACACCTAAAACAGGGCTGAGCAAAAGATGAATACTCAATAAATTTGTTCTGAATGAGTCCCAGCCTCTCATCCACCTGCCCACTAGACTCCAACAGAGGCTGCTGGGAGTCTGGGTTTCCACATCAAAAGGCCTGAAACTTAAGCCAAGTCACTGCATAGACCAGGACAAATGATGGAGGGGCATCTAGAGTTCCCAGATGTGGGTAAGAAGTTCCTATTCGTGCACTTGGGGGCCTGCTCCAAACCTCAGGAGAATGTTCCTGCCTATGTGTGCAGAGAACACAAGATGTCCTCCAAGATTTATTTTCTCCTTCTTACATAACAGAATTTTCAAGTAGGCAGTCATTCAGCTATAGACTACATTTCCCAGTCCCCTCTACGACTAGGAGTGGCCATAAGCCTACATTCCAGACAATGATTTGTGCAACTTCTAGGTCATGTCCTTAAAGGGAAGGAGTGGTCCTTTAGCTTTCCCACTGTCCCCACTCCGGCTGGCTAGTATATGAATATGAGGGCAGGAGCTGGAATAGCCAAACAGGACCTCAAGATAGGAGCCAGTTTTAAGAATGGCAGAAAGGTTTGAATGAGAAAGGATCCCTGACACCACTGAGCCACCTTACCTGATTTGGTCTACCTACCTGGGAGAAAATAAACTCTCTGGTTTAAACCACTCCCTACCCTGACTCTATTTGACCTTCCCCAGACCCCTTCCATTTTCCCATCCGCCTGCCTTGCGGCAGAATCTACTTACCTAGGAAGTTGAAAGCGATGGAGACACTGAGCTGGAGCAGCTGCTGAATGGAAGTCACAGCCTCTTCAAGGGAAAGCGTTTTTGATTTATCTTGTTCCTGGGGAAGAAATATAAAGACTCATCGTGGGACGGTTCACTGGGATTGCCACCTGCCCAGGTCAATGTTGTGAAGATCCGGGTGACCAAATCTGGACAATACCTGCTTTTCACTAGCGGGCTGAGGCTGGACTGGTTTTGCCTTGGAGGTGAAGCTACTGCTGGCATGCAAGAAGCTGCTATCACTCAGATCTGCAAGGGAAATGGCCGACACCCAGCCAGGGTGAAGGAGAAGGTGTCACTTCCCCTTTTCTCCCACTCTCCCAGTCCACTCAGCCCCTTCATCCAGCACCACTGCCAGGAACCGCGATAATTCTGAACTGCCCCAGAAAGCATAGGGCCTCACAGGAATACCAAGTCCTAGCATATGCAGCAGCGAATGTCCATCTGCCCAACTCCCCACTACCCCCTGCCTTCTACTCATTCTAGGTGGGGACATACCTTCTTCAGAAAGATCCTGAAGACCAGCTACTCTCAAGGAGCTGTGTGAGGAGTGGCTCTTGGGTTGAGTGCACGGTTCTTCCTGGCTCAGCCTGGGGTCCCTGAGACCAGTGAGCCTGGGAGTTGGGCTGTCATGACTGGGGAAAATGTAGCTCCGCAGCACTGGAAAGAGCCAGCAAGAGCAGTCATGTCAGAAGGGGACCAGCACAGCCTGCTTGGGCTTGACTGAGTCCTCCCTGAAGTTTTAGGAAACAAAGGAAGAATTTGGAAACTCCCGTGACATTTCTCTCACCTCCTCCTCCATTTCCTTCACTGGCTTCCCTCCACAGGGGTGGAGAGGGACCCACATTTATGCTGATCTTCTGCCCTAAGCATAAATCCTCCCTCTGCTTGATTTCTTCCAGCAACAGGGAAGCAGCTACATTATTTACTCACTGTTATAGCCCCAGCACCTAATACTTTGTTTGACGATAATATTGATAATGATTACAATAATAAGAACAAGAACTTAAATACTTACTGAGCACTTATTATGTGCTTGACATGTATTAACTCACTTAGTCCTCCCAAGAAACCTATAAGGTGAAGTTTATTATTGCCCCATTTTACAGATGAAGAAGCTGAGGCACAGGGAAGTTAAAAGTGACTTGTCCAGGGACCCAGGACTAATATGTACCAGCTCTGGGGCTTGAAACCTGACAATCTGACTCCAGAGCCCTTAACCACTAGACTGCATTGCCTCTGTACCATGATACATAATAGCTACTCAATAAAGATTCATTTATTAACAAATGACTGAACAGAGAATGACCTAACTGGCTGAGGGGTAGGCAAGATCTAAAGTATCCTGGACCCCTGTGGGGCTCCCTTCATGGAAGGTGATGGGAGGGCATGGGAGGGCACTGGAAGGTAGGTGTGGCCCACACCCTGCATGGATGGAACTTCCTCACATTCCCCTTCCTCTAACTTCAGATAGGAAAGGCAAGGAGCTGCTGATGGCTCTTTTCCTGAGGTGTGTCCAGAGATACTTCCTGACCCAGAGAAACTCCCAGCCCAGCCCTCCTATCCCCAGGACTGAGAACTCACAGGGCCTCGGACGCCACAAGGGAGATGACAGGAAACAGTCCAGGGGACTGCGCCAAGAGCCGCGCTTCGCTCGCCGAGGTCCTGCTGGCAGGGATGCCTGGAAGTGGATCTGCCTTGCCAGCTGCAGGGCCAGCACAGCCAGAGTGCCCTGGGAAAGACAGCACATCAGAAACACATCTCTTCACCAGTCAGCTCAAGGCTTAGCCGTCAGCTCAAACATTACTTCGGGAAGCTTTTCCTGACTCCTAGATGGGGCAGTTTTCTCACTCCACACTCTCACAGCACCCAGACATCCCCTCTGGAGCCCTGATCACACTGGTACTTGAGTAATCATCTCTACAATTATTCCACCAAGGTCGGTCTCTCATGTTTGTCTTTCAGCACCACAAGGGCAGGAACCACATCTATTTTCCTCACCAATGTATCCCTGGCGCCTAGTACATTGCTAAGATATACACACTGAATAAATGCAGAATAAATAAAGTCTAAGTAGGCAAAAAGATAATGTGGTAAGTTGGGGCTTGGCCACAAATGCAGCAACAGGTCAGAGTTTCCCACCAAGCTCACTCTCTCCAATTTGACACAACTCCTCCCTTCCTCGCTGACCAGGCCACACACTACACACACATTCACAAGTACAGGCTTGTTGAAGGTGTCTCTTCTCCAACATGTCTACAGAAGACCTAACCTAGACCAGTGACTACTTGGTTTTCCCTGTCCCTGCATGCATTATGCAATGGAAATGACATCCAAATACTAATTTTGTTGCAACAGCCACTGAATACAATGGCAAATAAGATGGAAACAGTCTCTGCCTTCATGGAGTTTATAACCCAGGTAGGTATATCTTCATTGAGGGAGAAAAACAAAATCCGAGCACACAGAAAACAAACACAATAACTACAAATTATGCTAAATGCCAGGAAGGAAACAAATTAGGGTTTACACAGAGTATAAGAGGGAGGCCTGACAAGACAGGAAACTCTATCGGGGTGATGTGTGAGCTGAAGAGAAAGTGCTTGCATTGTCAATAGTGGACAAGTATCCATGGCACTGGGGACAGCTTGTGCTCAGGCCCTTTCACATGGGCAGTAGTGACAGCGCTGAGGGATGGCATAAGGACCCCTGGGATCCAGGCCCAGTTTCAAAAGGACTGTGGGATTACCACAGGGTTCTGATCTTTGACAAAAAGGGAAAATGCTCCCCACTCCAGGGTTTATTATATCTCTAGTCCACAGCTCCCCAGACAGAAGTGCCCCTGTTGAGAGACACTCCAGGCTCAGACCTGCTGATGACACCCATTAACAGATGAGACAATGGGCTCAGAGAGGTCAAGTCACTTGCCCAAAGTACACAGCATGAAAGTGATAGGGATGAGATGTGACAGACACGAGGAATTTGTGCGCCAACTTTATCAGAAGACCTTATAAGCAGAACGTGAAAGACAAAGATTCTGCCCTATTAGACCTAGTGTTTGCTACTGAACATCTCACTTAATAGATCAAATTCAATATTTATTGAGCAACTATATGGGCCAGTATCTGTACTAAGTGCTTTTATAAGCCATACTAGGTTCAGCAACCAAGCCGTAGAGCATGGTAGCCAAGCACATGAGCTCCAGAGCTTATCTGGTTCCTCTACTTAATAGCTGTGTGATCTTAAGCATGTTACCTAAAGTTTCAGAGCCTGTTTCCTCATCTATAAAATGGAGGTTATATCTTCCTCGTAAGATCTTTGTAAGGATTAAACAAGATAATGCATATATAACGCTTTACATGAATAAAGTTTTAACTATTTAGCATTATTTATTATAAACTCCACAAAGGCAAAAATCATTATCTACCTTGTTCTCTGCTATGTCCCTAGTGCCTAGTAAAAATGCCTGGCTCAGAAAGGGTGTTAAATATATGTTTGCTGACTAAAAGGAGGAATAAATACATGGAGGACAGGTAGATGGAGCATGGCACTACCTCTCCAAATATGCTCCAATGCCATGAGCTACTCAAATTTTGAATGCGGGCACAATGATGCCCTAGCTCTTGATTCTAGGCTTCCATGCAGAATCATTCTCCTCAAAGTCAAAAACAAGGCTGAGGAAGCCTTACCCACGATATGGCATCCCACAAGGTATTTTCTAGGCTTCCATGCAGAATCATTCTCCTCCACACTGAAAGTCAAAAACAAGGCTGATGAAGCCTTACCCACGATATGGCATCCCACAAGGTATTTGGGGAGACACGGCCAGACATCCACTGAAAGGCATCCTTCCATCCATGGGATCTTGGGCCCCTGCTTGTGCCTGGACCATGGGGGCCTGACCTAGATGATGTAATAGAGACCATTAAGTTCTGTCCCAAGTAGGGGGAGAGGGAGGCCAAGAGAGGAGATGGGTGATAGAACGACAGGATCTCACCTGTCAAAGCTTGGCACTTGGACCAGCGGAGTAGAGGAGGCAGCCTGAGGCCCATCTAGGCTGGTGGTTTTGGAGGTCACTCCCCGGAAACCAGGTCCTAGCAGACGGGGAAGAGCTGTGCAGAACAAAAATTAGTCACCTTGATATGAACAGGACTGAAGCAATGGCAGCCCCACCAATATTCCCTCTGACCTTTGACAGAGTCCCACCCTAGAAACCCAAGAATCACTGACTGGCATCTGCCTCTGCAGAGGTGTTAAACAAGGATACACGTAGGAATCTTTTGCCTAGTAGGTTCTGTGGCGCCACCTCAGAACCAAAAAACCAAGATACTTCAGGGTGGCACATTTATCTTTTGAAAAAGCTCTCCAAGTGATTCTGATGCTCTCCTAGTGCTAACAACCACTGTTCTAAAATGACCATTCATACACAGACTCAATCAATGTTTGGAGCATTTTCTCTCTAAATCCCGTCTCTCTTCATTGGCCTCTACTCCTTTCTTTGGCTGGCCCACCATCTCATTATTTGGCCTCCCCCTTTCAATAATCCCACCCATCTCGTTGGCTCTAAGCGCTACCTCTTCCCACTAGCTCCACCCAAACCCCACGTTCCTGCATTCTGGGTGTAGCCCGCCCCTTGAGGTCCCGCCTTTCCTCAGCTCTATCCCCGCCCACTACTGCTTTGGCTTGGTCCTCAAGCGCGCCCCCTCCTCCAGTACTGAGTCCGCTGCCTCAAGACGCGCGGCTCCGGCGCCCCCTTACCTCGGCCCAGGAGTCCCGGGAGGCGCCACATGTCGTCGCCAGTGCCATAGAGGCTCGCAGCCGAAAGAGCGAGGCCAAAGCATGAGACGACAGCTAGAACGGCCGCTGTGGCGCCCTCCGGGTGCCTGAACCCCAAGGAAGCTCTCAGGCAGCCAATTAGAAAGGAGCCCAGCCGGAAGGACGGGTCTCAGTGAAAGGAAGTGAGAGTGTAGGCGTGTTTGGGGCTAGCGGGAGCGAACTGCGGCAAGGGCATTGAGGATGTGGTCCCTGCGCCCCAGGGAGGAGGTGTGGTTTGCCGCCCGCAAGAGGATGGGGAGAGCGCGTAGAGGCGGGGGCGGAGCAGCAGGAGGTGGCCAAGCCGAACCTCCTGGGAAGCGGGGCTAGAGCGGCCTCGGTGGCGCAGGAGGATCTTGCAGACACTATGGAGACTGGAAAGGGAAGCGGTCTTCCCCAGGCCCCGAGGCTGGGGGAGGTGGGAGTAATGAGGCCCACTGGGCAGAAGAAAGGAGCCTTAGGGTCCGACGAACGGTGCCGGTAGTCCAAGGCCGGTGTCCGATTGGGTAGGCGATGGAACAGGCAGGGTTCTGATTCTGGGGCTCTAACTCTGGCTCGGCTTCGTTTTCTTATGTAACCTCTGGCCGACCCCTTCCCTTATCTGGGCCTCAATGTGCGTTATGATAGGGTCAGATGGAGTGACCTCGACTGATCCTAACTGGTTTGACAGAAACCACTTGAGTTTCTGCTTTCAAAATACCTAAGAGGAGACCCCTTCATACACACATCTGTTAATCAGAGCTCTCATCTTCAGACCCAGCTAATGTCATCGATGTGTTCTATAAAATAAAGGCGCTCAAATTCAATTGTAAGGTGGTTAGACTTCCTCTTTTCCCCCAGGTGCATGATTTATGGGTAGGTGGAAGTCTCCACCCAGAGTAAAAGAGTACCAGGGTACCTACTTGTAGACAGGCAATTAATAAAACTAGACAGTTGTATTAATATGTTTAACTTTTGAGCCATATGTCAGCCACCATCCTAAAATCTGAGGGGACATAAAGAGCATTTGTAGCCTCCAAGAACACATGACCCAGTGTTTTGTGGCCTCGAGATTTCCACAAATGGTTTGAATCCCAGCTTTCGTACCTTCTAGCTATGTGTTCTTGGGCAGTTTACTTAACCATTTTAAGCCTCAGGTTCTTAATCTATAAAATAGAAAAAATAATACTTCAGGCTTAAATAAAGCAGTATATTTAAAATTTTTAGCATAGTTTCTGGCACATAGTAAGAGCCTAGTAAATGTAAGTTGCTATTAATTGTAATGTTAGAAGAGATGAGTAGACAAAAGAAATAGATATATTCCAATAGAAGTATGAGCACTGGGTTATGGAATACCATGGAAGGATTCAGAAAAGTAATTGCATTTGAGCTGGACCCTTAAATGAGTAAGAGTTTGCCAGGTGGAGAAGGGAGAAAGGCATTGCAAGCAGAAGAAACGATAAATACAGGCCCAGAAGTGTGAATATTGGATAACTATTCAGAAATATCTTTGCTTTGGGATTTGAGACACCCACCTTTGACATTCCTTGTATTGCTACCTCAAAATAACAAGCATGCTGGTTCAACACTGTTTCCAGGACTTATGCACCCTTCTTCCTTTCAGCCTGTCTAGTTCATTTCATTCCTCCAGGCTCAGCCACATCCAGTGCTTCAGTGATGACTCCTCAACTGTTGGAGCCCTCACTACTCTCCGCTTTTCCCAATTTTTGTAGCACTTAATTTCTTACCACACAATTTAGCAGTAATTATATGTTGTCCCGTTATTTAATTATCTTATTTGTGTTAGTCTAGTCTCTCCAGTGCTCTCCCTCAGGGCAGGGATGGCATTTTCCCATTTTGCATCCCACATCAGACTTGACATAAACTGTCTGTCCACAGAAGATGTTCAAACAATGCCTGTTAACTTGACACCTTGTGCTGCTATGATTTTAGACAAAGAGCACCAGACCCCAATCATGGGATTTATTGATTCAAATGGAAATGTATTCATTCCACATGCAAACATTGAGGGCCCTCTGTGTTTGAAGTTACTTGAAAATTTTTGAAGAAGATCATGTGTTTTCATATGTAAAATAGCCTAATGACATCTGTCCCTAAATGCCTGAGAACACTAACAGACCACATGCGTGAGGGTAGATGGCGAGGGTAGCTGGAGTCCTCACTGACACACCAGATCACCCCAGAGGAGCACCCCAGAGGAGCACCATTGGGGATGGCAACTTCGTTCCCTTGCTTTTAGTTTTGCTTGAACTTCCAGGTCTAAACCATCAACCGTTCTCTTCTCCTGCTCCCAAGATTGCTCTGTTTTTGGCTTGTGGCCCAAAGTCAATTTGACTTAATTTCTTTTCAAAGGTAAGCGAACCTACTGCCCAGGTGTCCACTTAATCACCTTTTGTTGATGCCACCAAGTACTCACCACAGCAAGGGGTCTAGACATTTGTTGTTGCCTTCACTTTCGTAGACTTTCTTAATTTGCATTAATCCGATACGTTAAGAGAGCCTAGTCTGTGCTGGAGAATGTTCTGAGTAAATAACAATTTTTTGTGGCCAAGCCGAACCTCCTGGGAAGCGGGGCTAGAGCGGCCTCGGTGGCGCAGGAGGATCTTGCAGACACCGTGGAGACTGGAAAGGGAAGCGGCCTTCCCCAGGCCCCGAGGCTTGGGGAGGTGGGAGTAATGAGGCCTACTGGGCTGAAGAAAGGAGCCTGCCCTCACAGAGAAAAGTCTATCAGGACAAACAAACTCAGTAGACAGTTAAAACACATAATGATGTAAATGGGTATGGTCCCTGCCCTCACAGAGAAAATAGTCTATCAGGACGAACAAACTCAGTAGACAGTTAAAACACATAATGATGTTTTAGTTACTTATTGCAGCATAACGAACTCTCCAAAATTTAGTGGCTTCAAACAATCATTGAATTGACTGGGCTCAGCTGGGCAATTCTGCTGGTTTCACTTGGGGTCTCTCATGAGATTCCCATCAGATGGCAGCTGAGGCTAGAGTCATATGAGGGCTCAACTAGGACACTGAAAAGGCTGCGCGTCTTTGCTTCTTCGTGTAGTCTGTGCTCCACATGGCCTCTCCAGCTGAGTAGCTGAACTCCCTAAACGGTGGCTCAGAGCTTCAAAAAGTACAAAAGTAGAAGCCGCTAGGCTTCTTAAGGCTTAGGCCTGGAACCCGCAGAGTTTCACTTGTGCACTCTGTTGGTTAAAGCAATTCACAAGATCAACCCAGAATCAGTGTGGGAGGAGAAGACACAAAGGCTTGAATAGTGCTTAAGATCTCTTTGGAGACTAGCAAGTGCGTTAGTGAGGAAAGTACAGGATGCTATGGAAACACCCAGGGGAGGCATATAACCTAGTTATGGAAGTCCTAAGAAGACTTCCAGGAAGACTTCCTGGAGGCAGTGACATCTAAACTGATGAATCTGAATGATGAACTAGCCAGATGAAGAAGCAGAAAGGAAAACATAATTCAGACTGGAAATAGCTGATGCAAATACCCAGGGAGACAAAGAGAGCACAATTTAAGATCAGCGTGTCTGTGGGGGCCAGAGGGTGGTTATAGGATAGTGATAGACCTTTAGTCTGGAGGGGTAAATGGGGCCAGGTCATAAAGTCTTGTAAGCCCCTCCCCGCCCCAAGATGTCTGGACTCTGTCCTGAGGGCATGGGACATCAAGAAAAGAAGCAGGTGTGATCAAGCCAAAAGGAATTGAAAAAGGCTATTGGCTATTGAGTGGGTGATGGATTAGAGGGGTCAAGCCCTCATTTTTCACCCTGTCCCTCCTAGCCAGTGACCTCACCTTCTTCACTGAGAAGGCTGAGTCACCACCTCAGCACTGCTATCAGTACTTTTTGCTTTTTATTAGTGGGAATTTTTATCATAAAAAAAATGCTAGCTCCTTTGTACAAGTTTTTGTTTTCGTTTTTGAATTTTAAAATGAACATGTCCTAAAAAGCCTGCTACCTAGTAGGATCTAAAAGTAGGAACATGTGGTTGGTCAAGTGATCAAACAATTTATACCTGTGTGAAGTATGTTAAGGAGAACAGGAAGCATGCCAGGCTCAGGGGAATTTACCCCTCAGTTAAGTAGTGGTTGGTTAAGAGAATACCTACTCTAGTACAAAGTCAAACAGTACTAAAAGAGCAACCATTTTCAACTCTTCTGGGTTTCAGAAAGCAGCACAGAGGAGCTTGGGTTTGGAATTGGACTGCCTGGCATCCAACACAGTTCTTCCACTCACCAGCTGAGTTACCTTAGTCAAGTAAATTATATCTTTCACCTTGGTTTCCTCATCTGAAAGATGAGAGTGATGATTGTACCCTTCTCATGAGATAACATATAAATTGCCTGGCACATGGTCAGTAAATGGTGATGATGAAGGATCTAACGAGAACAGCTGCGAGTACAGCTGTGGACATTTATTTAGTTGCACACTGTACAAATAAATATAAGGCATGAATATGAGCTAGAAGAAATGACAAGAATAGAGACTCGTTTGGAGAGGTCTGTCTCTTCCTTTGTTCTAGGCCAAACTCTGCTTTCAGTCCCATTCTCTTCCTGCTTCTTCTAGAACTTTGTCTATAATTATCCTGACCCTCATGCCAAAGCATACATCTCTCTACTATTTTTTTCTTTCTACCTATGAAATATACACAGGCCTTTCCCATCTTGGTGGGGGGGGGCGATCCTTTATTTGAATCTCCTTCCCTTTTCAGCTACCATTCTGTTTCCTTCTTTCTACCGCTAGATCTCTTAAGCAACATACATACCGCCTCCCAGTCCTTCACTTTCAGCTTTGTCTCCCAGCTTCTATGGATGCTCTTCTAACACCGATGTCACTACTAAGGGTCATCAAAGACCATCTCATTAACCACCATTGGGCTTTTGTTTCATCAATCTCCAGAGCACTTGACTCAGTTGACCATCCACTCCTTAAATTTCACATACAAAACCACCTCATCATCCCACTTCCTTGTTTCTGTCAATTGTATCATTTCCCCAAGCCATTCAGAAAAGAAATCCTGAACTCAGGATTGGCTCAACTCCCTTCTCTGCCCTCCCCTACATTAGTTTTGATTCTTGTCACAAATATGAAAAACTCATTGAA